AGGAATGCCAGCATCTCCAATTTCACCCTGTTGAATGGGATACAAAACAAGGATAATAAAAAAGACAGCAGAAAACGAAATAAAAACGGGAGGAATTCAAGAAGCCAAATACTCAGCCTCCCATTCCTGCAGCTCATACATAACAGCCAAGTACACACGAAAACGATAAAAAGCTCTTCCCTCTGCAAATGTGTAGCACTGATGGGGAAAGGGCAAACCTAAGGCCAGCCTTCAAACTGCTTAAGCTGGTAATTATCCCCTCGCCAGCATAACTTGGAGCTAGACTGTCACAGTACACAGCTCACTCTCTGTTCCTGCATCTTTATACTTTGCACTGGAAACGCACAGACAGAATTGCACAGTTTACTACCAGAATCACCAATAAAGACTGAACTGGGACTCTGCACCACTGGTGAGATGTGAGATGTGGTTCTCCAAGTAGATGTGCATGGATACCTGAATTCCAGTGTCTCCGGGGCATCCTTCGTGTCCCTGTAATTTAATCATATATGACAGAATTACTACAAAGGAACTCAATCTACAGATATGAACCATGGTGGTCTTATTCCTTTTAACAAGACTGTTATGGTATACAGATCTGCAGCCTCGGGAACTAATTTGGAGTAACTTACAAACACCACAAAAGCAAAAGCAAATTTTCAGTTATGGTCCTTACATAGTGTTACCTTTGATCCTTTTCTTCCTGGTCTGCCATAACCAGCAGTTCCTGCAGCCCCCTAGGAACAGAAACATTGATTTATCTCAGATCTTTTAAAATACACTTTGTTTCCAAGGTCAGTGTTTGTATTTTGGTTTACGGTGCCTTTTAGCAACCATTAGGGCTGTCAGCCTCCAGGTGGGGCCTATCCCCCAGAATTGAGACTACAGAGATCAGTTCCCTTGGAGAAAATAGCTGTTTTGGAAGGTGGACTCTATGACATTGTACCCCATTGAGGTCCCTGTCCTCCCCAAATCCCACCCCAAATCTCCAGGAGTTTCCCAACTTGGATTTGGGAAGCCTATCCTCCACCTGGAGATGGCACCCCTAGTTTGAGTCCCTCACATTGGTTACTGTGGCAACGGACTCTGAAATGAAAGCGACAAGCCATTTTGGCTGAAGTCCCTACCCATCCCCCAATCCCACCTTCCCCAGGCTCCCCCCCCAAATCTCCAGGAATTTCCCAACCTGAAGGTCGTAATTCTATAACAGCTCCTGGGACTGATCACAGGGAATACCCCATACCTCACCTGTGAGCATCACTGAAGGAAGGGGGAAGCATGGCGCCCTTACCAGAAGGCCTTAGGAAGTTGTGACAGAGCTAGTGAAGACCAGGGCTATTTTTGGGCAGGAACGCACAGGAACGGAGTTCCGGCTGGCTCCCGAGTTGGCCACGCCCAGCAGGAACTCGTTAGCATAATAGGCCACACCTAACAGCAGAAACTCATTAGGATTGGCTACATTAGGGGGGTGTGGCCTAACATGTAAAGAAGTTCCTGCTACAAAAAAAGCTCTGGGTTTTGACAACAAACAAGGTAAACAGAATAAGAAGCAAAAGGTGCGTGTGGCTGGATGACCACACTTCTGGTAACACGGGGGTGCGGCCTAATATGCTAATGAGCTGTGCTGTCAGGGGTGTGGCCTAATATGATAATGAGTTTCTGATCTTGGGTGTGGCCTATTATGCTAATGAGTTCCTGCTGGGCTTTTTCTACAAAAAAAGCCCTGGTGAAGACAAAGGTGCAGCACTATTCAGGCACAGGGCTTCTGAGTGGCCAGTGGAACCCAGCACACAATGACAACATTACTTGTGGGGATCCGGTTCTGCTAGTCACTCAGCACACACACACCTGCAGGGTCCCACAGCTAAGGCTCCAGCAGCTCCGTCACCCTCACCACCTTCCCAATGCCCACCAGAAAGGCCACAGTGCCTCCCTTCTCCCTCAGCAGCAAGGACTGGGATATCTCCTGAGACCCATCTTGCAAGCCACTGCTGGTGCCTTCCAGTTATACAGCATATACAAAATGGATCCAACACAGCACAGGGACAACATTTCCTCTCCCTAAGCATACCGGAGGCTCAAAGCACAAAAAGTTGGCTCAGCACAGATCCACTCCCTCCTAGACAGATCAGCACATTTTGCTGTAATCCCCTAATGACGAAGAGTCTATAAGCAATATTTGGTGTATTCCATGTTTCTGTGTAATTATAGAAAAAGTGCAGAATTTAGCATCGGGCACAGCATTCACTGTACTGAGGCTCCTTACACAATGACAACATTACTTGTGGGGATCTGGTTCTGCTAGTCACTCAGTACACACGCACCTGCAGGGTCCCACAGCTAAGGTTCCAGCAGCTCCGTCACCATCACCACCTTCCCAATGCCCACCAGAAAGGCCACAGTGCCTCCCTTCTCCCTCAGCAGCAAGGACTGGGATATCTCCTGAGACCCATCTTGCAAGCCACTGCTGGTGCCTTCCAGTTATACAGCATATACAAAATGGATCTAACACAGCACAGGGACAACATTTCCTCTCCCTAAGCATACCGGAGGCTCAAAGCACAAAAAGTTGGCTCAGCACAGATCCACTCCCTCCTAGACAGATCAGCACATTTTGCTGTAATCCCCTAATGACGAAGAGTCTATAAGCAATATTTGGTGTATTCCATGTTTCTGTGTAATTATAGAAAAAGTGCAGAATTTAGCATCGGGCACAGCATTCACTGTACTGAGGCTCCTTGTTTCTGTTTTGGGGGGGAAAGTTATATTTTTACTCACGTTGCTGTAGAGATAGAATGTAAAAATATGCAGATGATGCCAGGTGAAATATCTGAAAATGTGAGGTGAGCTGTCTGAATTGGTCATGGGACCAGGGTGCAGTGGTGCTCACACACTTCAGCTCTTTGTGATGCAGATGAGTTGTGTTTTTTTTGCTTTATTTGTCTCAATTTCAACATTGATGTAGTTTACTTCATAAGGCCAATTCACATCTATATATCTGTCTTTGCTTGGGTGAATGGGGGGTGATGTCCGCCCGGTGGCAAGTATGAAGGAGCTACTTCCCAAAACCAGCTATGGTCAGGAAGCTCTGCCCTTCCAGAGCTTTGTGAGCAAAGCCTGTTGTGAGCAAAGCCTGTTGTGAGCAAAGCCTGTTGCAGCTGCCATTCATTGCTGTGCTTGAGCTGTGTATATCGTTAAAGAGGACTCTGTGGATCGTTCCCAGGGATGAAATGCCCTCTGGGGCCACACCCCCATGACTGAATGCCCTGCTAAGCAGGCTTGCAATTGCCTGTTCCTCCCATAAGGGCTGGGCAAGCACCCTCTCCCAGCTAATGAGTGGAGAGGATGGTTTTCAGACAGCCAACTGAATGAGAAGCATAAACTACAAACCTTCATTCCCTGATGACCACGGGGGCCATTTTCTCCTTTCTCTCCAGGATCCCCAATTTCTCCCTGGAGAATGGAACGTATATAATCTCAGATTTGTGACAAAAAAGCCGACACAGCAACTCACTGAATTGATTATCAGAATGGATACAAATACATAACAACCAGGAGGTAAAAAATAATCCATTCTGAATAAAGGAAAAAGCCATGATTCTCAAACATAGGCAAATGTCCTTTAAGCATTCAGATAAAATTAGGCTGCTGTGGGAAGAGCTTTAGTTGGGGCTTTCCCACATTCTCATTTTCCCTCACTTCTGTGTTCCTGTTGCTTTGGTGTTTTTTTTTTCTGTCCAGCATGTGTTTTGCTCCCTCTAGTGGTCGATACGACACGACATTGCTTTACATCCAGCACAAAAAACTTATATCTGCAGGGAGATATGCGATCTAATGTCGAATCAACCACTAGAGGCGGCAAAACACATGCGGAACAGACAACACCCCTCCCCAAGCAACAGGAACATGCAAGCAACGAGAATGAGAATGTGGAATAGGCCTTGTACACAAAGCCTTGTTGATTTAAGAATTTCTTTCATACTGTTAATAAACACTCCTATTTGAACATAAGAATGTAAGCAAAACTCTGCTGAATCAGACCACAGTTCCATCTAGTTCCAGCCTGTTTCCCATCCTGGCCAACTAGATGCCTCTAGGAAGCTCCCAAAAAAGCCCCAAAAGCCATATCCTTTCCTTTCTTTGCCCTCCAGCAAATAGCATTCAGAGGTACACTGCCTTTGGATGTAGGTCCCTTCAACTCTGACTTGAGCAGAGACGGATAAGAAGTTGGATGCTGCGCAATCCATCTTGTTTCCAGCCGTGTTGCTTATATTGCATTGATTGTTTTTGAGTATTTCTTATCATGAAAGTAATATAGGGTTGCCAGGCTTTTATGAACTGAAGCTGTGTGCTTTTTCTATAACTGCATGACATGGAGAAAATCATTAAGTGCTGATTTCCCCATAACTATCAAAATGGATGCCTTTAGATTTCTGCCTGCAAACAGACCCGTCCAGAAAAGCATGGAAAACTCTGGTGCGAACAAATTTTTGTCAGAATTTTTTTTTTGGGGGGGGGTAGAATCAGGATTTGAAAGGCCAAAACTCCTCATCTACAAGCTATGGGCCTGCTCTAGGTTCTGAAAGTTAAGGAAGAATGAATGCAATACTTTATTTCCTCTGGATCCAGGTTTTCCTCGATCCCCTTTAGGACCTGCATTTCCCAAGCTTCCCTGCAAAGAAAATGAGGGGCATTAACAACTATTTTTTTTTTATTTTGACAAGAACAAACCTAATTTTCTGCAGTGCTGGAGACTGTACAAGACTTTCCCCGCAGTGTTCAATACTAGGCCATGAGTGCTCCTTCCTAGCCACAGTTTCAGGTAGGGTTGCCAATCTCTAATTGGGGCCTGAAGATCTCCTAGAATTACAACTGATCTTCAGACTAGGGATGGGAACGAACTGGCTCATAAACCTAATTTTGTGATGAAAATCACCCAGTTTGTGGTTTGTGAGCCAAGAGTCATGTGATTGCACCCACAATGAACCTCCAGTGAGCCTTCATGTTTTTCACACAGTTTCGTGCAGTTCGTGTTGGCAGTTCGTGTGTGAGTGAAGTTCAAGAGGTGAATTCACCCACTTCCGGGTGAACTCACCACTTGGACTTCACTCGTGCATGGCATGGCTCACAAAAGCCATTTAAACAAACATTCCATTTAAATGGCTTTTGTAAGATCTCCCTCCCCCTTCCATTCTGCTAGCCCCAACCTAATCACGAACCTCACAAAATGAACCAGTTCAGTAAATGGGGAGGCCTGTGAAGGTTCATGGTTCATGTGGCTACATAATGAACCATGAACCGGGACAAACCTCCATTTTCCCGGTTCGTGCCCATCCCTACTCCAAAGATCAGTTCCCCTGAAGAAAATGGCTGCTTTGGAGGACGGGTTCCATGGCATTATACCCTGTTGAGGTCCTTCCCTGCCCCAAACCCTGCCCTCCACAGACTCCAGTCCCCAAATCTCCAGGAATTTCTCAGCCTGGAACTGGTGACCCTAGCAGTCCCTCACATGTTTTGTCATGGGAATGAACTCTGAACAGACATATGAGAGCTGTAAGCCATGTTACCTGAAGACCTTTATTTCCTGCACTTCCCTTCTCTCCTTTCACACCAGGAATTCCAGCTTCCCCCTAAAAAACGTATTACATCAATCAGGTCTAAATTCACCCAGACAGGCTACTAATCAGGAATACATTGGAAATAGTGTAACTCATAATATGGGAAGGATAATACAAATGTTATTCCCCCCTCCCCCCAATAGTCATGCATCTGAGGCAAAATGCCAGTTCCACTTTCCATTCAGTCTCTTTCATACAGGCTCTCTAACCCAGTTTGGCTTCTGAAGCTAATGGATTTTTTGTAAAGGTTTCATATAACTCAAGGGTAAAGCACTGTACTCCCACAGTCAATGAAGCATTAATCCAGGATTCCTAAAACCTGTTTGATTGTTGTTCTTTATTATCCAGGTGTGTGGTGAAACCTCTAAAAAAATCTGTTTGCTTTCAGAAGCCAAAGCAGGTGTAAAGAGAGCCTGTATGAAAGGGACCTTACGTGTCCGTCCCCCTAGCCGCCCTCAACCATAACCCAGAGCACACACAGAGATATAATCTGGACAGCGGACACTTGCTTCAGTTTTGGCCTTTCAGAAAATGCTTTCACATAATTTCCCAAACTGCTAGTGCACTTCCCCTAGTGCAGAAAGCAACTTGATTATTTGGTTTGTAAACTTTTATTCATTCATTCATTCATTTTTATTTGGTTTATTTGATTTATATACCACCCTCCCCACAGACAGGTTCAAGGCGGTTACATGCTTCTTTTTAAAGGACAAAAGAAGCGCGTAAACACTGGCAGCATTTGCCCTTTTAACAACCTCCCATCCCAAATCCCCAAATTGCTATTTATTTTTCAGATCCTGCACTGGACAACTATGTAGTCTCCAGGCAGTTAATCTGTAATTTTTCTATGTCATTTTTCATGTTGTTCTTTCAATGTACAAAATGCCAGACTTGCTGGTCATAGACACAATTCTGTGTACACAGAAGCCATCTTGATGTCAGAGAAACAAGACGATGTATATTCTTATGGCTCACAATAATTATTATTTAGCAAGGAGGGATGCACAAAAATACAGGGGCTCCAAATTCGTCTCTCCTTTGTGCTGACTCCACTTCTTGCAACTCAGTGGTTGAATAGGCATCAACTTCCTGCTCTCCCACTGACTTCTTTCCATAACCAACTCCCAAACTGTGCTTCTCTCCCCCATCAACTCTATTCTCATCCTCTCTGACCTTTCTGCCACTTTTGCTCCAGCTGATCATTCTGTTCTGCTCAAATCCCTTTAGAACCCAGGTTCTTAGACTCTTTCGGTCATTCAGTGTCTCCACAGAGAGAAGATCTTCCTTTGCTTTCCTTCTCTCCACTGGGGTTCCCCAGGACTCTTGTCCTTGGCCTTCTATATTTTTTTTAGCACTCTGGTCTTGATCCCATCTAATCCCATAACACCCAATACAATACAGTAGTGACACTAGGCTCTACCTCTCTATCCCTGAACAAAGAAGCAATATCGCTAGAGATTTCCCACTCCATTCAAAACAACTTTTGAGATCTTGGATGCAGATTTTTGAGCAATGCCTATTGCGTACATTACCACAGCTGGTATGTATAAGAACATAAGAGAAGCCAATGTTGGATTAGGCCAATGGCCCATCCAGTCCAACACTCTGTCACACAGTGGCCAGAAATACCAGGTGCCATCAGGAGGTCCAGCAGTGGGACCTCTATCCTGTCACTGGCTCACATGTGCCAAAACATACTTCTTTGTAAAATAAATTCATGCTGTGTAAGAAAAAGTACACTGTGTGGATACATGTGCATAAACAGGATA